AAAAGAGTCTCAAAGATAAGGATTCTGTGATCCTTAAATACTTTCCAAATGTCTCTGAAGGGATTTAACTTCAGCAAAGTTTGACAGAGAAAAGCAATTTCTGATTACACAGATTTCTTTTTGCCATTTAACAAGGTTTAAATTAAATCACTGACCTGAAATACTAATTTTGAAAATGGCTTCTAAAAAAGAAATTCAGACAAAGTTGTTGATGCTTTCAGGTTTGTTCTCTGAAGACAGATGAATGACACAAAAATGTATCATGCATTGTCTGCTTGTTCTAAATAATCCCTTTTAGTAGGATTAGTCACAGTATTAAATTAAGAGAGGGAGCAATTAATTATATTCTTATGAAATGAAGAAGAGAAGAATCTTTGAAATGTTCTCCTTTCTTCCTTACCCCCTCCCTTTGAAATCTAAAATTGCATTATGGATTTTTCAGTTATGGAAAATCTTTCAGTCTTCAATTTAAACAAAAGTGGTAGGAATGAGCAGTACATGGCACAAAATTAATTTGGATTGACTTTTAGGTACACTAGGGGAATGTATGGCCAAAATGAAAAGGAATGCTTGATTTATAACAACTGTTAATCCATGAAGCAAGACCTTGCTGCTGCAAAGAGCTGTCAGGGGTTTTGGACAAGCACCTGTGCTCACCCCAAACAAATATTTTGTGCTTAGATTTCCTTTTTGCAATGTTTTATTTCGATGTTTAAAAAATTGAATGTGGTCCTACTTGTCCTCATCACCATGGCATGGTGTTGGTTAGTATGATAATGATATAATGTTCATTAAAGCCCTTTTTGTAGTGAACTTAAGAGGTTTTTCTAGCTTTCATTACAAGGGTTGCATATTCTTCTGTGGAAAAAAGCATGAGGATAAACTTTTGGAAGAAACGATAGTAGGTAGACAGCTACAGAGGAGAGCAGTGTAATAATAAGGATGTGTCACTAACTCTCTGATAAACTTGGGAAAATGACCACAGATTATTAAGAGAGATTGTGAGGGCTATGAGGGCAGAAAACACAATATTGAGACACTGCAATTATCCATATGTAGGTTGTGTAAATGATACACAGGGGCATGAAACCTCCTGGAAAAATTAATCTGAGAACCCACAAAAGGGAAGCAACTCTTATTAGTCTGGACCAGTGCATCAGGCCCACATCAATAAGTAATTGTGCAAGAACCACATTCTCCCACTGAATTTAATGTGACTGTAACCAAACCTCTTGCTAGGAACAAAAATGCTTTAAAAAATCCACTGCATAAAAGTTTACTACCAAAAAGGAAGAAACTCTTAAGGAAAACTGAATGGGAAAGCCAGAATGGTAAAATGTTAGCAGACGCGTGTGGAAAGTGCTGAAAGACTCAATGTTGAATGCTTAGTGTAGGTGTATGGCACCTATAAAAAGGCTGCTGTTCGACAGATTCCTATGTAATTTATAGTTACAAATCAAATGAATAGGCTAGTGATAAAGTTTGCTTTATGGTGACATAGAGATATTCAGGATTACTGACCACAAAGTTGCAAAAAAAGTCTTGTGAAACTAATGACTGGGTGCAAAATTGCAGAAAAGTACTTGTGGATAAATGCTAGGTGATGTGCCTAGAAAAAAATAACTAAGCATACAGGCACAGTGGTACCCTCTATCCTTGTTCAGGAAAGAGATAATGAAGTCATTAGACTCATTTTCATTAGCTCAGTGTTCAAACCTGGTCAAAAAACTATTGAATTATTAGGAACAAGAATGAAAATCCAGAAGAATGGTAGAAGATAAATACCTGGTGCATCCATATCTTGAATACTGCATGAAATTCAGGTTTCCTCCATCTCTGGAAGGTCCTTATAATGATCAAAGGTGCCAACTGTTTATGTATGAGGATAGATTAATGGGCTAGGGCTTTTCACCTAAGAAAGAAGAGTATCATCTTAAAAGTACCATAAAAGAAGTGTATACATCATACTGCTCCTAGGGGAGAGGGAGATAGCATTCTGAAGCCCAGAAATGATATTAAATTAGTGAATAGGGAGTAAATTTCTGCGGTTTCTTACAACAGGAGAACCGCGGGGAAAGATTTAAAATGGAAGGAACCATTTTTCTAAAAAATATATAATTAAAGTGCAGATTCCTTTGATATGTGAATTTGTGTAATCAGAAGTAGAAGTGAGTCCAAGAAAGTATCCATGGAGGACAGACCCATCACTGGCTATAAGACACAAGCTCCAGCCCAGGCTGAGTTTCCTCTGCCCTGATGTTGTTTTCACCACCTGCAGGCTTCTGTATTTATTGTAATTTAGGACAAAACTAATTTTCATTTCAAGTACCAGTCGTTACGACAAGTGCAGTTTGAAGCATCTGGACCCTTGTTTTACAGTGTTTGGATGCTGGGAAATCGCCTTAAAATACGTTGAACAGCTGGTGAAAGATTGTTCTAGGGGTGTAGTACTGCAGGACTCCAGGGAGACGTTATTGCGGTCTTTCAATGCTAAAATGCTTGGAAGAAGGATGGAAAATTTTTTACCAGGGCCTGTAGTGACAGGACAGGGGCAAGTTTTAAACTGAAAGAGGGTAGATTTAGGTTAGGTGTAAAGGAAGAAATTCTTTGCTGTGAGGGTGGTGAGGCGCTGGCACAGGTTGCCCAGAGAAGTTGTGGATGTGCCATCATTGGAGGTGTGCAAGGCCAGCTTGGATGGGGCTTGGAGCAACCTGGTCTAGTGGAAGGTGTCCCTGCCCATGGCAGGGGGTGGGACTAGATGGTCTTTAAGGTCCCTTCCAACCCAAACCATTCTATGAGTCTATAAAATACCTCCCCAGTGCCATCTGCTCATCAGTATGAGAGGAATTGCAGGAGAAGCAGACCTGAACCATTCCCACCGGAGCAGAGGGACGCAGGCTCACGTCCCTGCCGGGCTGCCATCAGGCCCTCAGTGAGTGTTTGTGCCTCACCGCCAGCTAACGCGAGCCGCTCCATCTCTGAAACGGCACCTCTACTGCACAGTACAGATCGTTCCGTTTAAACACAGCTTCAGCATACAAGGAATTTAATGTCAAGGAAAAGAAAGAAATGATTTTTTTATAAGCCACCTGCCTTAGGTGAATATGGCTGCCTGGTGATCTTGGAGCCTGACAGGTTTGGCTTTGATTAAAAACAATCGTGTGCAATAATTCACGTGATAATCTGTGATTTCAGGATAGTGTGATGTTGCCCCATGCAGATGCTCTATTTCCTTGCATTATGCATTTTTAAATTGAATACATCACCCATAGCTTTTAAAATTATCTGACAAATTTATCTTGACAACACTAAAGTTTTGCTCAGTGTGAGATTTTATTAATATGCTGTAATTTCTTAAATGATACTTGATCCCTTTTTAATTAAAATAGCCATAATGTTTCAATGTCAACGTCTCAACTAGTGCTAGAAGACCTGAGCTTTTGGAATTGATTTCTGTTCATCTCAAACAAGTGAGACCTACAGGCAGAGCAGCTGAATAACTACATGTTAAAAGACCCTATTTCTTCAAAGCTCGCCTTTTGATCCTCACATTGCCGCCAAGGCTCTGAACGCATCATTCATTGCAGGGAAAGTGTTTTCCTATCTCAGCTGGATTGCATGCTGTTATTCTTTTAATTGCAAAGTGTCTTTTTTTTCTGAGGCAAAATGGATCTGATGGTGAATGGCTGCCCTGACAGACACAGAGAGGCTGCACATACAGAGCTTCTGCTAGCATTTTCTATACTTACAATTCTCGAAAGAATCGAAAGCTTGCACCTTTTTTTTCCCTTGAGAGATCTGTTATTCTTCTGTGGAAACCAACACCTCAACAGCTTAACCAAAAAATGGTTTATCATTGTAACCTGAAGTGGTATGTATAGAAGTATCTGCCCAAACCAGTACAGGCATTTTCACTGAGGAAGATATATGGTTGGAAAAATATCACTAATACTATTGCTTTTTGTTTTCAGCGTCTTTAATATGTGTCCTTTCCTTTCCAGCATTATTCCCGAATTTTTTCCTGTTCTTATTTCTCATGTAACATTCATTTGATGTAGTTGAAACTTTGCTGAGGTCCCTGCTGTGCACCAAGACCTAATCAGCCTCGACATCTGTCGCGAATTGCTCTAGAGCTGCTCGGTCTGAGAGCAGGAGCCGACCTGCAGAGCTGCCGTTCGGCAAACGCCTGCCAAAGCCTAAGGCCAATGGCCTTTTTCGGGGCAAAAATTTTTACTGAAATGGGAGTCGAATTTAAACTCAGTTCTGACTCAAGCAAAGCTGTGCTGCTTGAGTTTCACCGTCGTAATGGTGAGGCGTTCTCCACGTCATGCATGTTTGTGTGGTGTGGGGGGTTATCAAGCACGACTGGGACTATCTAATTTTTTTTTTTCATGATATATGTTTGTTAATGGCAGAAGTAGACAAATGCTAGTTGACTAAGTGTCTTTCACCCGTATGTTGATGATTTAAATATATCCCAGGCTGATAGCGACTGTTCATTTTTTCTGCTGTTACTGAGGTCTGACAATAAAGGAGAAGAAATGGGCAGGCGGTTTTAACCTAGTCCTTTTTAATGGGTTATCATCAGCAGGATCACTAGCACGGCTGTTGCAAGGACCACGTATGGCCTCGGTCTTTCAGAAGTGCTTCCTTCAGGCTGCAGATGAGCATTGGGTGAGGGTAAAAAAGGGCCGGGTTGCTTTGCCACTGACCGAGTGGTAGCCTTTCACCGAGAAAACGAGTCTGTTGTGCTGTTCATTGCTGATCCGAAAGATGTCATTTGTTTCAATGTTTCTAAATTCTGCTGTTTTTAAAATAAGTCAGCGTGTTATGAACTCTTTAGAGTTAGAGATAGCGCAATGTTGGAGATGTTAGAGGTAGTACAATAACACGTAGCACAATGGAAGATAAATGATGTATTCCTGTGGTGCAAACCACAGGCTGCCAGCATGTCAGAGCCAGTCCCTGTCCTTATACTCTGTATTCATTAGTGCCTCGAGGGATACTTATTCACCTTATCTGTTCTGTTCTAGTGATTCACCATTTTTCAACGGAAGAGAGGTGCATGCAGGCAATAAAAGAGACGGCTCGTATCTTAAGAGTAGGAGGCCAGATAATGATATATGTGTGGGCAATGGAGCAAAACCGGAGAAGATTTGAAAAGCAAGACGTCTTTGTTCCTTGGAATCCTTCACCTCCTTCCTGCTCCTCGGGTGAGCCTTGCCCACGTGGAGTACAAAAATCAATCCTTCACAAGGACAAAGAGCTGGCTTTGAACCAGCCCTGTCGTAAGTTGGACGGGACTTCAGAGGTACACAGGACAGCAAGGAGCTCATCCTGTGGAGGGGAGAAAAAAGCGCTGTGCACGGCATTAGAGAAATCTCTGAGATGGTCTCTGTTCTCAAGATGACTTGACTCGGTATTAGGTGCGGGTGATCAGCGGCGCCAAGAAGAGCTCATTAGATACTGCAATTACGATGTTCAGCTGAATGAATTAGAGGGAAAAAAGTTGACAAAAGCAGAGACCGTAGCTTTCTGAAACACGCTTCTGATTTTTTTTGTACATTGCAAACCGAGTTTTGAAAATACAACAGCTTTTGAAGTGGCTGTTAAACCTGTGCTGCCCATGTCACGCTGCTTGAAGGCTTTCAGAAGTCGCTATTCAGAATTAGGGCAAGCAACTACCCAGCTCCCTATGCCTGCAGATACTCTTCACAATTGCAGCAGAGTGTGTTTACCTGACCTGCTTTCACATCAGAAAGAATTAGCTGTCAGACAACGACTTAAAACAGACCATCACCCAAAACAAGGAGCTTTCTGCCACCCTCAGAACAAAAGGAGACCAGGCTCTTCTCCACAGAGAGCAGTCAATGAGTCCACCCCGACCACCCAGAGCCGGCAGCAGCCCTGGCTGAGGTACTACCACGCTTTTAAAGAAGGGGATTTGGCTGAGCTGATAGACTGTCATATTCCTGAGCTATATATTACTCAATCATACTTCAACCACACCAATTGGTGTGTGACTGCAGAAAAGACTGAAGTGTGGAAGATCTAGGGGAAATTTCCTTATTGAAATGCACCAAGAATACTTCGGGGCTTTCTTCCTTTTGAAAGCTCAGCACCTTTGAAAATCTTTCCTGAAGCTTTTTATAGCCTCAAGTTTGTTTTAGGGGAGAGGGGGACATATGAGGAGGAGACTGCTTTGAAACTCTCAGGTTCTGTGACTTTGTTTTCTTTGATTTTGTTCTTAAAATACATCTCTATTGATTATTTTTTTCTAGAGTTATTATTTCAGACTGAGCGCATTTTAGCACACTGACCCCTTTCCGTAAACAGCTGCCAGCTGTGTTTTGCTGCTTGAAAATAAGTAAAATACAGTTGGAAGGCGATTGCTGGATTATTTTTTACATGTGCATTAAAAAGCTTTTTTATTCATTTATAACTATATAATCATTCGTGTCAACTTTTTATTTTAAAATTTATCGTACTCTGCCACTTGATGTAACATAACACAGGAAGTAATTGAAAGATGCACTATTTTATTACAGTTCACTTTGTCAGCCTATATGATAGTTCTAGTCATACTAGACAGACAGTCTTTTATGAGAATTACTAGGTATATAGAGCCTTCATGGCAGAGGCAGTAATTCATGACACTGTCATAGTCTAGAGATCTTTTTCATTGCCTGGTGGCAGTCACAGCCAGGAAAGCGAAGAGATATTTCCCTCCATATATGCCACTACATGACCCCCCCAAAAAATAGTTTTAAAAGCGAGCTTCACGTGTATGCTTAAGTCTTTCTCCCTATCAGCAAAACTAGAAAAAGTCAGAAGGATTTAATAACTCATTTAAACCTGTACAGTGAATGAGCATAGCAGAGAAAAGTGCTCCAGCGACAGCTAGTCAACTGAGAAAATATTTATTAACATCAGCATGCAATGCTAATGCTTTTATCTACAGATCTGCCTTTTGCAAAGAAGATTGGATTCATTACACAATTTGTATAGGTAAAGAAACTGAGGTAAGTAATTTTGCTTAAGGTTGCAATGGAGAGTAAATATTTGGAAGATAACCAAACAAAAATCTCAAGCAACACAGCTGCTTTGCTGATGATTATTTATGTGCTGGGGAGGTCTGTCTGTAATTGTACTTCCTGCCTTTCTTTCTGTGGATTTGTGAATCAGCAGGTCAGAGATCAAACTTGTTTCCTGAGAAATAAGCCCCTGCATGTTCTTTGCATGTCTGTCAGTAGCAGATGCGTATCATGTTTTCCAGCGTAGCATGGAACCATACAGTAATCTGAGTATTTTAATGCAGCTTTAATTCAATTTGGATATAATACCTGTAATCACATTTCCTTTATTTCCTCCGATGGAGTTCATGTCGGTGGTATCGGTACATCTTGTATGTTTAGGTGGAAGAGCTGGAGAGGCTAATCAGTCTCCTCCATCTGTAATGACTGCCTCTGCAGCGCTCCTCTTTTCCCCCTAAACGTTAGTATCATTATGCGAGTGAAGAAAAGAATTTTCAGTCATGAAATGTTGCTGCCGTTCGGCTCTGACGACACCATTCCCATCGTTTCATAGGGTTGTTCCACTGCCGGGATGTCCTGACAGCTTCTCCCTATTTTTCAGTGCAGCTTCAGGTGGCACCAAGCAGCAGGAGCCGCAGCTCCGAGCCTCTCCACCACGTCCGCTCCTACGGTTCAGCAGACTCTTCACCCACAGGACGGACCAGAAAAATGCCTTTGATCGTAGCTGCCAGTCCTTGCCCTCAAGCACACCCCACGTTTAGTTTTCCTGGAAATGAACACAGGTATTTTATCTGAATCTGACCGGTCCTCTTGGAAGGTTTTAGCCTGCTCCAGCGTTCCCTGAACAAAAAGCTCCATCATCTCCAGGTCTTCCCTGGGGTGCGATGAGATTTCTCCTAATGCTGATGCCCCCCGTCTGCCTGCTCCGGGTCAGGGGTTCCCAAACAAGGTCCATGTCACAGGGACAGTACTAGCCTAACTGGAAGGAATTTTAATCTCTGGACAACTGTCAGCAGCTCTAAAAGCAACCCTCCCCTTCAACAAGGAGTTAATGTCCTTGTTTTGAATGAAGTAAACTGCAAAGGCCGAAGGTATGGGTTAGGTCTGCTTCCACACGGGATGGCTTCCACTCATGACGGTTGCCTCTGGAGGGTGCCGAGTACTTCCTGGGATCAGAGTAAATTCAGTCTCTTGCAAACGAAGCTGCCTGCCCTGACTATGCAGGGGAAGAAAGTAAAAACATGGGTTTGGTTGGAAGGATCACGTAGTAATACTTCCTCAAATTTATGCGTGTCACAAACGTTACAAAGCTCTATTTGAAATTCTCGTTTTGATCAGGATGCCAGTAGCAAAACCAGGACGGAGTTCATTCCTTCATTTCTACATCACAGTCTGCATTTGTAGTCCTCAGGGTAGGCGCTACCTTGCTCCGAGAAATGTAGCACGGAAATGCTCTGCACTCCTGAGCAGTGCTTGGTCCTAATTTGTTTTCCTCTTGTGCTCTTTGCTGTTCTGGTCTGGATTTTAGAATAGAAAGGTTTAAATTTTCTGAACTCATTTAGGCATCTAGACTGTAGATCTATGTATGTAAGTCTATCTTTGTGCTCTATATTGCCTGTGGAGTTAATGGCAAGAAATAACCCCTTTAGAGGATGAACACACACCTTGAGGAGCTGTTGGGATTAGAGAGCTCATGTTCCGCACCTGCTCTTCTCTTTCCATCGCATGTGGAAGGAGCTTAGAGAGGAGCTGAGCCTTAAACGCTGATTCTTGGATGCTTCAGTTAGGAGAGATGGATCCTACCTAGGAATCTTTTAAGTTCTGAGGATGGAAAAAAGGAGCACGAACAACAGTAAAATCAGACAGATGCATCCACCGCTCCGCCTTCTGGCCAAGCAGTGCTGCCTACATATCCCTACTTTGTAGGAACCTTGCGGAAAAATTCATTGTTAAGCTGGGGGAAAAAAAAAAAAAAAAAGACAAAAAGCAGCAGCCTAGCTCAGCTGTCTACAGTATCTGCCACTGAATTTATGGTCATTTGAGGCCTCACCTGTCCAAGGGACACTTTCAGAAAACCTTCTAGTGTCTGACACTATCTCTGATCTACCAATGATGGTCACTTTTACAGATACCAGTATTAATAAAGCCAATGCTTTCTCACTTTTTCTGATTTGCAGGTCCCTAAAAATTCCCCAGTGTCAGAGACTTCTCAATTTTCTCCACAGACAGTTGCTGTCCTGTTCCTAATTTCTTTTGTGGACCCCTAGGAAATTTTCCACAGCCATCCCAGGATCCACAAGCATGGTTTGGGATCCTCCGTTCTGGGCTTTCCATGGTGAGCACTGACACGTCGACTCCCACGCAGCCCACGTGAAGTTGGCGCGGCAGCAGCAGCCAGGGCTGCTCACATAGACCTAAGACACTGTGAACACAGAACTGTTTATCCTCCTTTGGCATAAACAGGTTTGAGGAGAGTGCGTCTATCATAAAAGATTTTTGCCCACTGGGTAAATGTCTTTCTTCTAATTGTCTGTTAATTGGCAAACAGCTAATCCCACTTATGAAAATTCTTTCTCCAGAGAAAACTCAGCCAAGAGTTTCATAAATCCTTTTCCCTCATCCTTTTTAGTTTTAAAAATTGTTCCAAGTATCATTTGGTACCTATCACCTAAGGAGGTGTTCCGTTTGAGTTAATCAGCTCCTGCAAGGTTATCTGTGATCTATTTGAAAGTGCCTTAGCCAACATCTTGCCTTCTTCTTAATTAGTAATTACTGGCCTAAAATTGTCACTTACCATAGGCATTTGCACTGACCTCTCAAATTAAGATCGCCCATGAAATTAAAAGTGGAAGAAGCCTGTTGGGTCACTTATTCTATCCTCCAAAGTGCATTTATTATTCATGGTGTGTGGCAGGGAACCCAAGTGTAGGGTATGATTGAGAGCACCGCAGTTAACTTGTCTTTGAAATGTAAATATACTTAATGAGTATACCTGTCTTCCCGCAGGATCTGTCCTTGTCTGCTTTGTCATTCTGACTTCTTTCATTCTTTCTTCTTTTTGATGGGGCTCCTGATTTCCTTTCCTTCCTTCTCACTCAAGACGGAAACCAACTTTTTGCAGAAGGATTCCAAGTGGTAAAAAGCACAAAATATATTCCATGGATTTCTCAAAATATGTGCTTTATTAGCATGCCTTTCAGATCTCATTATGACCAGGACTGTGCTCAGTGTCACCTTCATAATTTGGCACAACAAATCATTTGACATGAATGTACTATTGCAACTTTAAAAAAGAACACCAGCTTGCTTGCAGTGAAAGCCCACATTGGCAACATTTAGCTATAGGGAAACTGTGCCATTCGCTGGCTGTCACAGATTTCCAACTAACAGCATCATATTTAACACAGCGAAGTAAATTATCCTAGGCAAAAACAAGAAAAAAATTTGGGGGGAAACATTGGGTCAGCCAAGAGAGGGAGCATGACAGTAGGTGTCCATCTCTCGGTCTTCAGTTGCCCCATACCCAAACTCTGCTCTTTATAACTGTATACAGAGGCTTGAAAAGAGGTTTAAAATACCCACGAAAGATATTTTAACAGTAAGCCATGCCAGAGTTGCCATAGAGCCTTTATGCAAACATGAACAGAAAAGGTACCTTCCACAAAACCAGTCTGGCTAGTAAAATGCAAGCTTCCTACTGATAAAGCCCAACAGCTTTTTTTCCACCAGACTTTACCTGAATACGGGGGTGAAGGAATCTCTACGCAGGTTTGTAAATTAAAATTGAAAGATGTCTTATACTGCAGCCTGCTGATCTACTACGTGTTGGAGCACAACCTCTTCCGAGCACAGGAACGCTCCGTTTCATGTACGGAAAGTTGAGCGGACGTGGCAGAAGGCCAACACAACTGAGTGGGGATCTCCTGATGAGGCTTAAATGGGTAAAGGAAGGTTCCAACTGGAAATTCTTAGAAATTAGAAAACTAGGGAAATATTTTCCCTGTGAGGGCAGCGGGGTGGT